CTCCTGGAAGTGTCCAAGGCCAGGTTGGATGGGGCTTGGAGCAACCTGGGCTAGTGGAAGGTGTCCCTGCCCATGGCAGGGGGTGGAACGAGATAAGCTTTAAGGTTTCTTCCCACCCCAACCATTCTGTGATTCCATTATTAAATGGCACAGAGGCAAACAAGGGCAAACCTCTCAGGGTCATATGGACTAGTATCATGCATGCAATGGGTGTTTCCTGGTTTAGCATATATGTTGCTGCTTGAGGACTTGTTACTTAAGCAAATTTTAAATAAGAAGTGTCTGTGCAAGGGCAGTTGTGTGGTTGAAGTGTTTTATGTGCCAATCTAGAGGCAGCTTTGCCTACTGTGATTTTAATCCCTCTGGAGGATTTCTGTCCCTCTTAAACATTTTCTTCATAGTTTCGACACAGTCATAATTAGAAATAACCCTGTGTCTTTGCCATAGTAGAAATCCACCTTTTCTATACAATAAAAAAAATACCAGATTTTACAGTCAACCCCCCCCCGCAATAATAAATAACATATCCCTTTCTTCCCAATTTTCAAAACTGAGATTCGCTTTCAACCCTCTGCAGCATTTATCCCTAGGAAAGCATATTGTCCTCCATACCTTGCTGGGTAATTAAATGGTGAAATTTAGTGCTGGTGAAATTTAATGCAAATAGGATTTTTTTAAATCCACGGATTTGCTTGTACTTCTTCCCTCATGAAGTTAATATATCCCAATTAATTAGATGCTTCCCTGCAACCTTTTCTATGAGACGGGTTGCCCCTGCCCCTGGGCTTAAGTAACTAGGGGCCAAATGTGCAGCTGCACTAAAACTGCTGTGGCACAGGGAAAACATGGATACGTGGATATTGTGGAGATGTAGACGTGGTATTTTGGACAGTGAAATCAGCAGTGGGAAAGGAAACTGTGGTATTACTAATGGTGCATTAGTTGTTCGGGCCAAATGTGCCTTACCCGCTGCAGGCGCGCCAGAACTGCTGCGGCACAAGGAAAACATGGATATTGCCAGGTGTAGACGTGGGTATGTCGGACAGCGAAATCACCAGTGGGAAAAGAAAATCGCGGCGTTACTAATTGTGCAATGAATCGATTCAAAGCCCGGTGGTTGTGCGGGTGCACGTTCACGGTTTCGCGCCCCCGAGGCTGTCAGGGCGCGGGGAAACCCGCCGGGGGCTCGGAGGGTGCCGACCCCGGGACCCCTGTCGCCCCGGTCGCCCCGGCTCCGCAGCCCATCCCGGCTCCCTGTCCCGCCTCCCGGAGGCACCGCCCTGGCCCCGCCGCCCCGCCCCGGCCCAGCACAGCCCGCAGGCCGCCCAGGGCCGAAGGCCGCAGCCCGCGGGCCGGGCGGGGCCGGGGCCGCCATGGCCGGTGAGTGCGGGCTGGGCCGTGAGGGACGGAGCCCCCGGGACCGCGGGGCGGGGGGTTCGGTGCCTTCCCGCGGGGTTTGGCTGCGCGGCCGCGGGTCGGAGCCATCGGTCCCTGGGGCTGGGGCGGTGACAGGCGCGCAGGGCAGAGTGCGGGGCCCCAGCCCGGGGTGTCCGGGTGTCCCGCTCTGCTCAGCCCCGTCCTCCGGCTCCTGCCGAGCGCACGGGCTGCCCGCGGGCTTGGGGGCCCTGTTGCTGCGGAGCTTGGAGGCCCTGGGGGCTGTGTGTAAGCTGGTGTCACACTCGGGGGTTAAGGGCGTTTCAGTATTTTGCTCGCTGTTATTACTTTTTCTCTTCTGTTTTTAAAAGATGTTTCAGGTAGAAACGAGTTGCTGAAGTCTGACTGTAGCCAGATGGGGGTCGGGCTCTTCTCCCAAGCAACAAGTGACAGAATGAGAGGAAACGGCCTCAAGTTGCACCACGGGAGGTTTAGGTTGGATATTGGGAAAATTTCTTCACTGAAAGGGTTGTCAAGGCCTGGCACAGGCTGCCCAGGGCAGTGGTGGAGTCACCATCCCTGGAAGTGTTCAAAAAATGTGTGTATGTAGCACTCAAGGACATGGTTTAGTGATGACCATGGTGGGGCTGGGTTGATGGTTGGACTCCATAGTCTTAAGCTTATTTTCCGTCCTAAATGACTCTGTGATTCTCTGACTTGCTGTCAGACACTCTTGACTTCTGGTGACTTGCCAGTAGCACGTGGCAGTGGGTGAGCGTGGCTGAGGAGGGTGACGTCTTTCACCTCTGTATCGCCCTTCCAGCCCAGAGGAGCAGAGCAGTTGCTTGTCGGGGGTGCATTGAGTAGCCAGTGCCATCTGATCATTTCTCTGCAGCCAGAGATTCCTTCTTAAATCTTCAGCATCCCTTTCTTGGGCTCTTGAAGGGGAAAGCCAGAACTAAATTAGTGTTAAGCTAACAGTTTGTTTAGAAAGACTTTTTCGTCTCTTTTCTGAAACGCTTCAGCGAGGAGTTTGCATGGACAGGTACAAATGGTTTGATCATCAGATCCAAACTTTCAAGGTCTTGGTTGCCAGGTTTCCTGTATAAAGTTTATGAAAATCATCCAGGAGTTTTACAGGAAGTGGCAGCTTGTGTTTGCACTGCAGACACCACTGAGGTTTCTGGAAGGGATGTTTGCAAGTTCTGTGTGTTGTTATGGCGAATGTCTTGTGTTGCGTTTTGCGTCTCACGTGTTTAAATTTATCTGCCTGATGATCCTGTCTGTTTGGTAAACTGAAGGAGGCTTTTAAGGGGAAAGCAAACCAAAGATGGAACCATACCAAAGATACAGTGGTGTCAGAGGCAGTCTCAAGAGTCCTTATGTAAATGTTAGTGGAGTTGCTAATTGGGGTGTGCACCTGCCTGACGAGGCAGTTGGCAGCATTTACACTCCCAGGCCTGGATGACAGGAGTTATGTGTTGCAGTGTGGCAAGGAGGGGCTGATCTCAGCCTCTGAATTTGAATGCAGCTGGATTTATTCATTTACTGCGATAAATACGAGTGGCAGTGCAGACCCAGCCTAAAGTGGCAAGTCCATAGGGCCTTGTGGCTTTATCCAGAAGGGCAGTGGAAGTAGATGGTGGAGGAGCATGTGCTCCTGCAAGAGGCAAAATCCCATTTATCTTTCTGGTACAGAAAGCAACATGGGGTCTGTTATGGTAAGAATAGTTAGGCAGAACCAAATTTACAAAAGGGTTTTTGACAACCAAGATAACCTGAAAGTCCTGCTTTGTGTTGTGCCAGTGGCTTGCTTTCAGGGACCAGACACTTCAGCACAGGCTGAGCAGGAGTGCAAAGGCTTGTCCAACATCCTGGCTGCTGCCCATGCCTAGGTTAGGAATTGTCTTTGACAAACTCCCTGTGAACACTGCTGTTAAATCAGGAAGAACTTCAGCAAGTGTGTCCCTGTCACCCCTGCCATTTTTCCTGCAGGTGCTGTAGCAGACAGCCTGGCACATTGTGGTCACATCTGCTCAGGGTTTTTATGAGCTTTGTTACTTCCAAGAGCAGAATATGTTTCAGCAGCCTTACAATACCAGCAGTTTGTGTAGTGGCTGGGTCATTCTACAGCTGTTGTCAGAAACCTAGTTGCCCATTTGGAGGGAAGGATCAAGAGATGCCATTTTATGAAGGGTTTCACTGGGGGCGATTTGTACTTGCAGGTGGAAAATGATGAGCGTGCTGCTTTGTTACTGTCATATGTTGCTTGTGAATTTATCATCACTAAATCAGTGATGATGTTTTATAGTCTGTTTGGTAAATTATAAATTTAATATATGTTATAATTATTTTATAATCTATTTTATCCTCTGTTTGAGGAGCTGCTGGCTGCTTTCCTCTGGTGTCTTCTAGTTTTATGTGTCCTTCCTTTCCTTCCTCAGGTGCAGGGTGTGTGTGCTGGTGTGGGTGCCTGTGCTGTGTGCCAGAGGCTGCTTGGACTTCGGGTAACAGAAAGAAGTGGTTATGTGTGGTGTGTCACGGGCTTTTAGTAATTATAAATCAATAACATTAGTCGTGTTTTCTTCCCAACTATCAGAGACAGTTCCTGAGTTTCCTGTTTGCCTCTTTGGCAAGTTTACATTTCCTGTGAGTAAGGAAAATACCAACTTTTTAAAAGCAGGTCAGGTTCAGTGTCATGGTATCCAATCTGAGCTGTATTTGCTCTTCAGCAGGGCTGAGCTCAGTGCCAGCCCTCCACCTCCTCCCCAGCACTTGCACACTTGAGCAAACCTGCTCTTGGCTCCAAAGACTGTGGGACAGGATTAAGTCCAGTTAGCTCAATGATCTGGCAGAGGGAAAGGTGAAACTGTAGTATGTTCCATTTCAAATTTGAAGTTATAGTCAATCTTTGTGCAGTCTGAGGACATTAAAATGCCTGGCAGTGGCACACCTGTGCACTGAACTGTGGTAAACTCACCTGGTCTCCCAGTTTTGCTGCCCTGAAATTTCTAGGCAAGTACTGACTAACAACATTACTGTCCCTTTAATGCTGGGGTGAGTCCTGCTTAAAAACAGTCTCCTTAGCATAAAGATTTTAAATTGTCCTTGCAATAGCTGTTGTCTCTTTGAGGCAGTGAGATAAAAACTGGATATGCAAAACATCCCAAACACCCCCTCCCTAAATTCTTAAGACCTGGCGTCACATCAGTAGCTTTGCTGCAGTCGTGAAGTCACCTGTTTTGGGGTTCCTGTTGCTTAAAAATGTTCATAATAGGTATGTTCTATTAAAAAGCTGCTGCTTGTGAGCAGTGATCACAAAACCTCATTGTACAGCCATACGTGGGCCATGACTGGCAGTGCACGGGAACAGCGACAAAGCTGCCGGAGCTCCTGGGGCAAACTGGGCCCTGGAGCCTTCAAATGCACACATGTGCTGCCCAGATATCCTTATCACTCCAAAGCAGGGTGCCATATTCCAGCTGCTAGGATTGGTGGGGCTTTTTTTGTTCATTTTCTTTAAATTTAGTGGCTGGGGCTACAGTTCTGCATTGGTGAGCGGTGTCAGTGTGGGAAGTTTCCCTTCTCTGGTCTGAAGGCAGTTCCTTGTGTGGTTTGGACAGAGATTTCTCAGAATTAGAGAAAAGACAGAAGATTTTGGAAGAGAGAGGTGAGATAGTGGAAGGATGAGATACATTTGTTCTGCTTTCCTTGAGCTGGTGTTGAGCTTGGTAAGTGCTCTTCAAGAAATATTAAGCCTTGCTCCTCATCCTAAATCCTGAGCTCACATACTTTGGAGGAGGTGCAGGTGCATGCAGGGGGAATGTCTATAGGAGATGTTTCACGGGGGCTTCTTAAACACGGAGCATCCCATAGGATGGGTGAAGCATCTTGCAGGTGCCTAAGCCAGGCATTAAACATGTCCTTGGCAGGCACAGTTTAGCAGTAGCCAGAGAGGCCAAGAGCATGGTCCCATTCTCTGCTCCTGTCTTTTGGCTCAGATGGTAAGAAAATATAGCCCCTGAAATCTCAGAGAGGCCTCTGCCCTGTAATTTGGTGCCCCGGGTGGCAGCAAAAGACCTTGGTAAGACCTCATAAACTGTCACGTAAGGTGATGGTTTGCTGAGTGTGTGTAAATGGAAACTACCAGGAGGACAGGGAGCACTTGGGACTGCTCAGAAAGTACTCTTGGCTTAAGTGGAATCTTCAGCTGGTCCCAGTTCCCTTCACTGGTGTAACTGCTGTGTCTGGACACTGTAATGACGGGGCAGCAACAGAGAGGAGATGACACTCTGAGCCTGCTTTTATTTCACTTTGTATACTCATTCTTTTGGACTTTTAGCCCTTGCTGTGGTTGGTTGGTTGTCACAGCGTTGTTTGAAGTTTAATTGCTCGGCTGTAAGACCCTGGTTTAATGCATGTTCTGTCCAAGTGCAGGTGCAGAGTTGTTGGTGACACTGAGAATCACTACAAATCATGTCACTGAGGCAGAGGAGGGGGAGGATGCTTCGGGGAGCTTCATTACCCAGAAAGCATTTGCACGAACAGGCACAACTTTACGGTCTTCCTGGTCCTTGCCTCAGCCCTTTGTGCATGCCAATGTGTTGATTTGAAGAGAAGTTTGATCTCAGCTCTGAATCCAGGAGAACCTGGAACTTCTCGCAGCAGAAGGGAAGTATTTCAGCACAGCAAGTTTTTCATGGCAGTGTGTTTGTGACAGTGCACTACAACTGCCTTGGAGCAAGCTGTGGAAAAGTGAAGCATTAGAAAGACGTGGAAGTAAAATGGTGTTTGCATAAAAAGTAAGAATGTAGCTGGAATCCTGTTGTGCCCGTGGAATCACAGCTCTCTGTGCCACATCAGTAGCGGTGTGTTCTTGTTTGAATAGGAGTGGCACTGGCACTGCAGAAGTAAGTGATGGTCACACTGGGAGGTTTTCCTGAACCCTTTCCTGTAAATGCTGTCAGTGCTACACAGGTACAGAAAAAGGACAATGTAGTACCCAAACCAGTGACACTACAGGAAGGGCAAGGGCTGTGTGTAGGTGCAGTGCATCAGGGCAAAGTTTTTTGGCTCTTTTCTTTCACTCCTTTGTTTGTCTTCTCTAAATTGCAGGGCACAAGGGGCTGATGGTTTTGTATTTTCTGGTAGCCAGAATACCATAAAACCTACACATTTGCTTTAAATGGAGAAAGTGCTGGGAGTGTGAGGGTGTTTTGTGTTTGTTTTCTGTGCTGCTCAGTTGTAAAGCATTGTACTGGCATTTTAACACTCATTTCAGACACGGTCATGGATGTTCTCTTTTTAAATCTGATAAGGGCACAGTAACCTGTGGAACCAGTCTGTGCTTGTATCTTAATCTAGGGATTACAGACAAGCAGCTATAGAGAAAGCTATGCTCCTGCAAAATCCATTGCTGACAAATTGGGTATGATGCCTAAACCAACAGCAAATCTGGATTTGTGTATTTGCAGAGGTTTGGGTTAGTAGAAGAAGATGTGGTTTATTTGTGTGTGTGTATTTGAGTGTACTTACCTGTAAAAATGTACTACTTTTTGAATGCCCTTTCTTCCCTTCCTGTGTGAAATCCTTTCCTAAAAACCTTGATGGCCCCTTGGCAGAGATGCTTTTATAAAACACGTCAGTTTTAAATGTCATAATCTGGCTTCCTATATGATAGAAAATTTATTTTCAGTGATTTATTAACTTCAGAGCTGTGTTTGATTAAATACCCATCAGTGCTTGACTTCTAAGTGATTTAGAACCATCTTCCTTTGGAAGGAGAGAGGCAGCAGGACTGACCAGCCAGGAGTTTGGATGTGTGTCATTTCAAGTGGATGGGTCTTTGGAAGCAAAGGGCTGTGTTGTGTTTCCCTAACAGATAGTTCGCTTTTCTAAAATTAGGTGGTGGTGGTAATTTTAATTTAGGTATTTAATCACTGGTAGGAAAATGAAATTTACAGAATTTAAAAATGGCTTGTTAATTAACTGCTGTGGTTTGTTCTGTCTGTTATTTTTTCTCTAGATCAGTCGTATTGTCATCGGCTGCAGCACGACATGTATTTCCTTACAAGCACTAGCCGACTGAATGAGCAAGTGGTTGATAAAATTATTCTTCAACTTAACAGAGTCTACCCCCAAATTCTTACCAATGAAGAAGCAGAAAAGGTAATTTGATGAGTTCTGCTGTGTCTCTGACTGTTGTGTTGTTTTTGCAGGTCACTAGCCTAGCTCTTCCCCACAGACAGCCAGTCTTCCTCACCTCCTCATTGCTGACCGGTTGTATCTGGGATCTCATGTGAGAGGAGCAGTCACAGGGCTGGCACATTCCCCATGCCAAGTGGTTATGAGAGAGGACACTCTCCCAGCAGCAGCTGAGTGCCAGGGTCCCTGCCCTGACCAGGAGCACGCACCCTCACAGCCGCTCCATGGGCAGGAGTTCACCATCCTGTGACCGAGTGCCCCACGTGCCTCCTCCTCACATGGGGCGGTGTGGGGGTGTCACATCAGGTGATCTGTGCTGCATCCAGCTCTGTCCACAGAATCATCTCTTTTAGCTTAATCAGTTTTAGTAACTAATTAATAACTCCGAGTATTGGTAGAGAAGGAGGGAGTGTTAGTCCCACTGGTAAGTGCAGGAGCCATGGGAAGTGGATGGAGTTAGTAACATCTTGCAGCGGTGCTGCAAGGCCATCCTCCCTGGCATGAATCTTTCAAAAATGGGAGGTGTTTTTAGAGAGAAAGAGCTTCTAAGTTTGTGTGGAGACAAAGTTAAAGAGCTTCCCTGATCCTACTTGTAACAGTTTGTACTTGCCCACTGCTGGCTTCCTGTCTGCACAAGGCTCAGGGTTTTGGCATATCAGTGCTTTAACCTCAGGAAAAATGGGTCTTATTCTGCCATAATCAAACCCCGTGGGGACAATTAGTGTTTTGTGGTGTAGAGCAGAGCTAGATCATCAGCTGAGCCAGTCTTGCCACTCAGTTATGATAACCAGTATGACATGTGCCAGACAAGATCATCTCATTCCCTCAAGAGCTTCAAAAGAAATACATAAAGAAACTGTGAAATATGATTTGTGAGTTCTGCACTTAGACAGCAGTGAGCTGCTTTTGCATGGGTCCAGGCAAGTTTGTGTCAACTCTGTTGAGTGTTTAGGAAGCTTGTGATCTCAGCTGTATCTGGTAGCTGTATCTGTGGGAATTTAGTCAGAATAAGGAGTGTTGTGTAAGGTCTGTGGCATTCTTGTCCCCCTTGAGCAGGAATTGTTCCCAACTCAGTATGCTCCAAAGGTTATCCACTGTGCTGCGATGAAATATGATGCTTTGCTGAGAATGGCTTTGGACATTTTCCAAATAAGCTGAAATCAGTTTGATGTGTAAGCCTAGGGATGCATTTTCCTTCTCTTTGTAAGGTCTCCTAATACTTATCACATTCAGCACTACAGAAAAGAGGTAATTTCCTCTGCAGCTGCTTGCCATGTCACCTGAGTCATGGGAATTTGTTCCTTTTGAACTGGGCACTCAGCAGTTAATTGTGCTGGAATCAAAGAAAAACAAGGAAATATGTAATCTTGGGATGATGAGCACTCCAGTACTGGGACTAGGATAAGGAGTATTAAGTGCCTTTTTGGGGATCATTACTAGACAACTGAGGGCAAATTTGAAATCATCAAGCTTTATTATAAGATTTGACGATATTTTCTATCAACAGTCAGAATAGAATTGTAAGAATAGCAAGTACCATGTTAGCTTGGATCCAGGGAAGACATCAAATGCAGTGGCTTTCCCTTGATCAGGATGGAAAAAAGCATGAGGGGAAGCAGAGGCAATATCCTCTCCATCAGGCAATGCTGACCACGTGGAGCTCAGTGCTCTGCAGTGCATGTATGTCCTTTATAGGTTCTGCTTATTTTTTTTGGCCTTTGAAATATCAAAGAGGCTCCAAATCTTTGCTCCCTGGCATACTGGAAAGTGATTTAAAATTGATCTCTATCTGTTGTAATCTGTCTTCTGATGAGTGCTTTTCTCTTACAGTTCAGGAATCCAAAGGCATCACTCCATACCAGACTCTCAGATCTGTTAAAGCACCTTCAAAAGAAAGGAGACAGACACTGTCAGGAGTTTTACAGGGCTCTGCAGATCAATGCTGAACAGCTGTTTAATGACCTGCCAAGTAGGAAAATCTTGAGTAAGTTGATTTTTAAGTTGATTGAGTTGTGAATTTCCTCATCAGTGAATTTCCTCCTTTCAAATGAAGTTTAGGTTATTTAGACAACCTAAACAGGTTATAAATAATATAAATAAACAGATTATTTAAATAAATTTTGGGATAGACCTTAATTCCTTCTCACTGGAGTTTTCCAAAAGCCGTACGGGGATTTGACTTCTTGTTATTTGCTGATTAGAGTGGGCAAAACTCTTTGATCGTTTTGAAATATTAATTATGTCTTTAAAACAGTTTAAGTGCAACATGTCAGCAGTATAACTCCTATGAATTACAGCTTCTCTTTCATAGCCATTGCTTCATAATGGCCTGTTTATTTCCTCTGTGCTTATTTTGACTTGCAGCGCAGGGGAACATCACAAACCTCCAATTTGTTAAGCTCAAATGTCTGCTGGCCCAGGAGCTTGGCTTTCCCTCAGTCCATAAATCTCCTTGTTGTGTCTAGTTTAACACGAAGCACACATTCATAGGCCCTTGCACTGATGGACTGTGATATTAAAATCACTTAGGACTTGTTTTGTGCAGCTGACAGGCCTGACTGATGTCCATAAAGCTGCCCCCCAAATACACTTGTATGCACTTTGTAAGGGCTGAGGCTCAAACAGATTTGATTCTGTACTGCAAAGGAGTTCATTTCTTTAAGGAAAATTTCAAGCCTGACTTGCCAGCGTGTGATAATGCTGTCTAATGTGTGTTGGTCTTTCTTTTTTTCCCTACCTAAGAACACTGTTGCAAGTGGATGGGAAATCGGTTCAGGCATCCTGCACACTGAAATGACTTGAGGAGCTTGAGGGAAAACTCCCACATTTATGTTAAGGAAGCTGCAAAAGGACTGCAGCTTAAGAAATCCTTATAAAGTATCCCAGCAGTAATGCTTCACCAGTCACTTGATTTCTTCTTGTAAGAAACTCCAGAGTGAGGTGCCAGGGCAAATTACAGGCATGAGACAAACTCCAGTGGGATTCAAACCATTACTGCAAAAGTCTGTAGATTGACCTCTTTTATTTCTGCAGTGAAAATGTCGTGTAAAAATTTATATAGCTTAATTTCAACTTTCATTTTGAAGGAAGGGATTTGTATCTACCCAGCACAAACACTGTGAGGCTGCAGAGTTACCCCACGTCCATACCTGAACCCTTTTGAACTGGGGACTTCAGGGCCCATCCCTGCTTCAGGATTTCAGCTGAGCACCAATCCCAACTGATTGAGCCTCGCAGCAGCTTTAAGACAGTGTTATGATTTGATACTCACCTTGTAGAAGTCATGCCCTGTGGGAAAACAGGCTCTTAAACCAAGTAGTTTTGGATCTGTGGTTTTTACTTGCGTAGAACTCAAGAGCAACAGGTTTTTCTGCCAGGCTGACTAGAAGTCAGCAGACAGCTTGTGTAAATTAAGAGCAGTTTAAAAAGCCTTAGTGTAGTCACTAAGAATAAAATTTCAAGACTGTTTTGATGTTTAAGAGTTCAAGCTTGTTAATGTTCAATAGCACCTTCTACAAGCTGTTTCTGATGATATATCTTTACAAGGAGACTTGGGTAAGGTCTGTGGGGTGTTTTCACTTTTAGCTAGAGCAGAAGTGTGCTCATCCTTGCACTTGATTTATGTGGTGACTCAGAGCTTTCCTCAGGTGACAGGGTAGGAAGGGTTAGAGCTTCTCATGTGCAGACTGTGCATAGCAAGTACCTGTGCTATAAGTGCTTCGTGTTAAACATGCAGCTGCTTGTGGTGCCCCAGAACTGTTTTGCTGCTGCAGCATTATGCAAAGGGACTTCAGTAACCATCAAAAGTTGTTAAATTCTCTGTATCTTGGCACACTCTCTTATGTTAACCATCCTCAGAAGGATGAGAATAATTTAAATATGTGGGTTAAAACACTACTATTTGCCGAGATTCTGCAGTTTCCTTCTATTGACCTGAGAAGGAAATACTGAGATGATTGTGTTAATATGCTTGCTGCTTCTTATGAGTTCTGTAATTAAAACAAATGTCTGCAGTCTGGATTAAATGGTCAAGGAATGGTCTAGTGGAAAGTGTCCCTGCCCGTGCCAGGGGGGTGGAACTGGATGGTCCTTAAGGTCTCTTCCAACCCAAACCTTTCCATGATTCTATAATACTCTTAGAAGTACTTGTTAAATTTGTCAAATTTAGCACAGGGCATTTACTGAATTGCCACTAGATTTTGAAAATGTGAAGAAGAAGGAAAATCCCTAACATGGGGAGTTTGTTCTAAGTGCAGATTGAGCTGAAACAAACAGCATTACAAACACCTGGAGAAATTATTGATAAGGACATGGATGAACCATGGCCAGGATGGAGTTCTGTAATATCCTACATACTGTACATATGACAAATGTTTTCTACAGAGGAAATCCTTTCAAATATATCTTTTTCATTTTTAAAACAGCTTTAAAAACTGTGCTAGAACAAAATTTCTTTGCCTGAAGTGTAAATTGCCAGCACAATGTCTGGTAATGTCGGAGCATTCCCACTAGAGGGGGGGTAAGGCACACGGTTGGGGCAGCCTCAGAGCTATTGAAGGCAAACAGGAGCTTCCAAGAGACTCAGAAAATGTTTTTATTTCCCTCAGTGCTGACACAGACTAGAAGGATAAAGGCTCAGACCAGCCCCAGGCAGCAAAATCCTGAGAGAAGTGCAGAGGTCTGGTTGTGCTCTCCTGTGCAGAGTGAGGATTTCCAGCTGGAGTTCCTAGGGAGGACATCAGCCCCTCAAAGGGGCCGGCTGGGTGAGGCTGCCAGTGACACAGAGTGCCCCATGGAGGCTTTGCAGCAATCCTTCCTGCTTCAGGGACTCTCAGGCCTCACAGCAAAGTGCTGCAGGGGTTTCTGTCCTGCACCAGTGCCACGTGCCGTCCCCACACGGAGGGGGACGTCTTTAGCAGGGAGGTGGTTGTTCCCCTGACAGCAGGTCCTGTTGCTCCCTGGGTGTGCAGGGCAGTTTTCCAAGGCACCTCACCGAGCTCCAGATGTCATGTAGGAGAAGGAGATCAGTTGAAACCAGTCAGTCTCAAATTATTTCCTGCTGACAGCCATATTTGGAGCTCTCACTTTTTCTCCTTTCCTTTTTTTAACCCTTTTAACCCTTTGACCGTTGGGCTTGGTGATCTTAGAGGTCTTTTCCAACCTTTATGATTCTGTGATTTTTATGACCACAAAGAGATGTGGCTGAAAAAATCGTTATGCAGATTGGTGATGTGTTGAGGAAAGTCACTCCTCTGCCATGTCTGGTGACTGCTGTGTGCACACCCCTTCTGCAGTGTTGTCTCCACATCTGTGTGGCAAAGGCAGCTCTAAAAGGGTCTTTCTGCCCAGAGTAGAAACTACTGAACATCCTGTCTTAAGGCCAACCTCCTTTTCTACTTGAATTTGCAGAAAGATAGAGGCAAAAATTATTTATGCCAAAGGTTAGCACGTAGAACTTACAGATTTTCAAAGAAGCTGAGCAAGTCTTTAGCCAAGACCTGAATTTAGGTAAATGATCTGCACCAAGAGGCTTTTCCCAAGTGCTTTATCCATTAAATACATCAATACCCAGAGAGATTTGCTCAAGAACAGAGAATGGTGATACATCAAATTATAAAGGCGTTTTCAGATTAGTGCATCTATTAACAAATAGTTTCTATTTATTACCATGAAAATTGCTGGCATTATGGAAGAATTAGCTCCTGGTTTTAGTTTAGAATTAGTTTCCCATTACACTTGGGAAACAAGTGTAATGTTATTTATGTGCTCAGTGCTTAGGCAGATCAGAGGTGGAGCTGCAGCTGTTTGTGGTTTCATTCAGGTGACTGTGTGCCTGTCTTTTGATCAGCATATCCCCACCTTTGACTCTAGTGATGATCTGCCTTTGGAGGGGTTAAAACTTTATGTCAATATTGGGTATTTTTTTGAAATGTGTTGTTTTGCACCATTTTGCATGTGCTGATTATGTTTGTTTGTTTGCTTGAGCTGAGTACTAACTTCTCATGTGTTGCTTTTATTTCTAGAAACCTCAGATCCCACAGAGATAGACACTGACAAGGAGCAATATATGCTAAATGACAGGGGTAAATAAACCATACAGTGTCACCGGATGGAATGGCTTTGCAGATTACGATGCAATTTATTTTATCATGTAATTTGCATTTCATGTAACAACTAGTTTGGTTTATGATGTCTTTACTGTCACAAGTTAAGTAGAATTAATGGAGTAAAATGTATTGAGCTGCTGTTGAGGAAACCAGTGCCAGGAAATTGAAGAGACTGTAGAGTTTAATCAATATTTACAATGGTATTTTCACTTATACTGTTACAGCTAAACTCTTCATTTCCTGTGATTTCTTCAGTGCTTGAACAGTAAGGGCTATTCAGATGCTGCTATCACTTTGCATAAGGCCATCAGTTTGTTTTTTTAATATGACTTTCAATTTTTTTCATTTTTTTGAGCTCTCAGTTTAAGTACAAATCATTTGAAAGCGAAAGCAGAAAGGAAAGATGTACTTAAATATATTTTCCTTAGGAAAACATGTTAATTATTTTCACCTTCCTCTGTTCAATGCCAGATTACACAGACAAATATTTTATTCACTGTAGGATATTTTGGAAAGGAAGAGCTGAAAGAAAGATGAAGAATTTTCTGAATTTATAATGAACTGTTTTATCATTTAAGTTTAATTAATATTTTATTTAGAATTTTGGATACAATTATAAGATATTCAAGACATTTTCTGTAAATTATGCCTTTATGCCAGTTTTCTGGAAGAAGACTGAAACAAGGGGCAGAAACACAGTTTAATGCAATGTATACTTTTGCCTGTGGTGGTGTTTCTTTGAATATGAACCAAATTGCTCTTCAGATTTTTCACATTGCTGTTGCTGCCTGCATCATAAAAGTACAGGAGGAGCAGAGAAGGTGCTTGGAAATAAGAAAATGAAATATTATTTTATTTTATTTTTACTTTTTAAAAGGTTTTTTTCCTGAGCTGTCCTCAAACTGGAGATTGTCTGGCCTCTAGCCACCCTCATTGGGAGGTTACATCCCAAGGAGCAACCAAATCCCTGCTCCTTTGCTGTTTCTCCAGTGTCAGCTCCAGGAATTTGTTAGTCTGCAGTACACTTGTCCTTAAATTGACAGATGTAGTTTAATTGTAGCTCTATTCCTAGTGAAGTGGTAAATACAAATAGAATATTGGGCGATAAAGAAGCAGATATAAATCTTTACGAGGTTTTGTCAGTAGCTAAGTATGAATTAGAAAGGTTTTACTGAACATCAATACCAACCATCAGCATTAAATGTGTAATTCCAGGCAGGCAGTTTCCAGGGGGAGATTTGTTTTAGGCCCACGTGTGGCTCTTCATCTCAGCCCCCAGGAGAGCTGTAAACAGGAGCAAGAATATCTGCTCTTGTCATGAGAATGGAGTTTGTGGAACACCTGTGGGGAATAGAAAAACCCCCTAAAAATGTAGCTCTGAGGGGCTGTGGTCTCTTACCCTCAGGCAGGGGCTGTGAATGGAAGTGCCACGCCGTGTGGTGAGAGCCCTGCAGGCTGGTTAATGTTTCTTGTGCTGTTTAAAGGGGGTTTGCACAAAGTTTGAGAGCGATGAAACATCCAAGGAAGCTTTCCCTTAAATCCTACAGGCTGTAGCAAGATGAGCAGAGGGGAACAGAGGGTGGTGGCAAAGCAATTGTAGTAAAAATTAATTGCTGTCCATTAAACGTGCCTCATAGAACATTAGCCACAGAACAAACAGAATTGTGAATGTGTTAGCTTCATTTGAATATGCTTAATTATGCATATTAATAGCAATTGATGATTTATGAACCAAGTTAAACTTCTGCTGCTTTTAATGTGTTCCCTTTCATATTTTCTCCAGGCCCAGTGTTTTTCCTGGCCTGTTTCAGCGTGGCTGCAGGACTTGCCCTGTTTTGGTATTGCTGTAACTCAGGTGAGCTGCTCTGTGGGGTTTCTCTTGGAAAGGGAAAGGGAACACCTTGGAGGGCTCTGCCTTCCCTGAGCACGGGACAGAGAGGGCTCCTGATCTGACATGTCTTGACGGGGAGGGTCAAGGTGCCATCATTCATCAATGAGCTCAGGATACAAACTGCACTGCAGACGTGCTGCAGTATAAATAATGGATAGTTTGCCTGAGAGGATGCCACAAATAGGGACTCTTTTTAAAGGCAGTGGTCACATGAGCTCTTGTTGCTATAGCAATGGGTCATGATTCCCAGCAGTCATGAGACAGACCCAAGGCCTCTGGTTCCCACAGCCCCTGGGGCCGGTGTAAGCTTGGCCAGTGCCAGGGCTGGACTGTGCTGGCTCGACTGGCTGAGCCCGAGCAGCTGCAGCCATTGCCCCTGCTGCTGGCTCTGGGTGTTGGCTCTACCTTTCACTTTTGGGTTAGTGCCTTCTGCTCCTTGTGCCCCGGACACAGCAGTTACAGTTACATTGTTCTCTGCTGGTTTCCTTCACAGAGTTGTAGGTTTCGAGTAGCACCAGTCAATGGACTTTTCAGGTGATGTGGAAGTCTGGGCTCTGTGCTTCATTCCCAGATCAGAATCCCTCAGCTGGACTGTCCATGGTGTCACAGTTTAAGGCTGAGGGAACCCTTAGACCCTCAAGCCAAACCCACGTATTTCCTTAGATGCCATTGCTTCCCTTCATCAGGTTCAGTCATCCACATTTAATAAAAGCATTTTCAGAAAACTATTCAGAGGCTGATACCAAAAACCAGAGAATTCATCACTTCCCCTGATCCCAATTAGTCCATAGCATTATAAGTGTGTATCTTACTCTCAATTTGAACTGGCTTCAGGTCCAGCCTAACATTTTTGTTCAACCTTTCTCTACCAGACTGCAGAGCCCCTTGCCCCTTGTTTCTGTGCCAGCTGACTTTGCATATTTTCTCCCTGGGGAGCTCCTTGTGCCTCAAGTCAACTCTATGTCTTTAGTTCGTAATTTTAGCAAAAACAATCTCAACAAGTGTTTTGTTGCAAGGCTGCTTTTTCCTGTTTGTGAGGCTCTTTCCTGACTCTCTGTAGTATCTCAGTGCCTCGTGTGTAACAGGGCCACCAGCCCTGGATGTGGTGGTCCAGCCTTGCACCATCCAGTGCCATGCTCAGGCATAAAGCTGCCCCTTCCCTAACTCACCAATCTCCTCTTCCTGTCTGAACTTGCAGCAATGAATCCCAACAGATTCATTGTTCTCCTCTCTTGGCAGTTGATTTCTACATCGAAGGAAATTTTTCCTCCAGTTATTTTCAATTGATTTTTAATTTTTTGCAGGTGCTGCTTCCCCGCTGAGAATGAAACTTAACTGTGTTCACTTTCTCTTTTTCCTCCCATCTTCATTCTCTTTTAGATACAAAAGTCGTAGGAAGAGCCAGGAGAATCTTGGGCTTTTCTCCTATTATCATAGGAAGACATGTTAGAAATATTTGTATGTTGTATTTGGAAGACATATCAAGAGAATAAGGAAGAGCTGCCTCTTCGCCTGTCTGTGCGGTAACCTGCCAAGGGAAGCCAACGGTGCATAAATATTAATCTCCTGTACTCATACCAAAGATTTTATTAACTAGCTTCATCAATAATTGCCTTGCCTCCAGATGTATTCAGAATTTCAGCTATAAATGTCCTTCCCTCTGGGAACGGACCATTTATTTTTGTAAATGCTTATTTTGAAATATTTGTCGTTTGGATGAAAAAGGTATTTTTTAATACAAGCTTTAAAACGATCTCCTAAGTGAGGGCCTGAAGCCATGTTTGCATATGTGTTTTATACTGGAACGAAGGATCACGACTGTTTGAAGAATGCTAGCCTGTCTTTTGTGGTAATTAATTTAAGAAAAGTACTTCAAACAAACACATGCACTCAAAGCCTTATTAAGAAATGGATCTCCGTTTCAGAACTGTTTTGTCTAGATCCTTTTTACTCCCTGCCCCTGAGCTTGGGTGTGAAAAGTTTATGGGTGCCAGTTCTCTTTGTGTCTGCCTTGTACTCAGTGTGTCTTTGGATTCCCCACTGGTGCCTCATCCCAACCTGTTCCTGGTCAAACCCTGCTGGCCCTGGTTTGAATGCCCTGGAGCTGGTGCTGACTGGTTCCAGGCCCACAGAGGGTCCCAGGGACTGGAATGTCTGACCTGAAGCACTTCAGACTACCAAGATGTTTAAGGATTATTTAGTTCTCCCTTTCCCAGTGAAGTGCTTTGCATTCTGTGTGGCTAAGAAACGGAACTAATCCAAGATACTTTGCAGTGACTTAAGTGTCATGACATGGGGCTTTTTTATGGCCAGAAATACTTGAAGAGCCTGGGGTTGTTCATATGTCATGTGATGATGTTCTGTTTTTTTCTTTTCTGTGAGTTGAAACCTGAGAAACTTGCAGAAACCATTGTAAGATAAAATTCCTGAGGGAGAGGCAGGGAGTTGGGCTGCAAGTGAAGCAGCTGGGGGTTTCTCAGCTTGCTCCTGCCTCAGTCAGTGCCAAGGGCTGTGGAGAGTTCTTCAGTTACTGCTCAAGAGCATCACGAGCTTGGGGAGACCATGGTCCTGTACCTGGTGAGAAAGACACTTTTGCGGCTCTTCATTCAGTCAGGAAATTTCCAGATCAAATCAAATGTCATCTGAATAAACAGATACAGCACAAGTTACCAAGTACTGGAGGATCTCATGTGAAATTTTCAGTCATTTCAAGTGTTTTTTTGAAAACAGACTGAAAATTGTCTTTCAGCTTTAAACCTTATTCATGCTATTAAAATGTCATCATCAGGGACTTTTTATATGGGTAGGTAGTGACAGGACAAGGGGAAATGGTTTTAAACAGGCAGAGGGCAGGGTTAGATATGGGGAAGAAATTCTTGGCTGTGAGGGTAGGGAGGCCCTGGCAAAGGTTGCCCAGAGAAGCTGTGGCTGCCCCATCCCTGGAAGTGTTCCAGGCCAGGTTGGACAGGGCTTGGAGCAGCCTGGGCTAGTGGAAGGTGATCTGTGATCTCCCCCAAAGCAAATCTTCTTGTAATGACTGTGTTTCATTCCAGTACAGCACTCTCTTGATAGAGCAGCAAGGATATAGTCCAGGGGAAGAGTTGGGTACAAGGCCAAATCTCCCAGCTCCCTGATGTCCCTGTGCCAGTAGAGTGTTCTGTGTCCACAGGCAGACATGCCCCAGGATCAGCAGTGGGCCAGGGGATGCTATAAACTTATAAAATCCTGGTTGCTGCAAACATGGAACAAGGCAAATGCCATGGAACAAAATAACACCCAGCAGAGCAGGTTTTTTGACTCCTTCCCCCTGCCCCCACCCCACCAGCTCATGTGTCTCGATCCCATCTCAGGGAGGACTCTTATTAGGGAGAAAACATCATATTTCCTACAGAATTGGGCAGCCACGAGGCTCTGCTGCCCCTGTTACACAACAACTGCTGCTGTGCTGCCTCCCAGCTTGGGGAGGGCTTTAATCGTGGTCTCTTGTTTTCTCCCTGCCTTGCCTTGGCTTTAAGGTGAAAACAGGTAGTATTTTTCTCCAGCAAAGCAGATCTAGTTTATAACATTTAAAATCATCCCTCTCTCCACTGCTGCTTACCTCATCTAGCTGCCCCTTCTTGAGGGACTAGAACTACCTCTGAAAGCTGAAGGGGTTTTAAATCTTTGCTTTGAAGCAAAATTTGAAACCTCATTAGAGGAGCAGTATACTGTTGTACACACAAAAATCATTTTTCCAAATAATACAATCACACCTTATTTTGAAGCAGAAGCAGAGGCCTTACTGCTCCCTGGCAGATTTTTTCTTTTTAGCTTACCCCCCATGGAATAATGGGTTACAAATCATTGTGAGCTGCTCCTGAGACTTGCAGAAGTTATCAGTGCCTTTCTGAGTCTGAAGATGAGAATTTGCTGGACTGCCTTCTTGGGTCGATCTAACCCTGTGCAGCAGGACATGGTCCTCCTAGTGCCTTAAACAGTGCCTTCTTGGCATGAAAACCATATGGAATCAGAGTCATAGACTGGATTCAGTTGGAAGGAACCTTAAGGATCATCTTGTTCCAACCCCATGGGCAGCCCAGGTTCCACTAGCCCAGGTTGCTCCAAGCCCTGTCCAACCTGGCCTTGGACACTTGCAGGGATGGGGCAGCCACAGCTTCTCTGGGCAACCTGTGCCAGGGCCTCCCCACACTCACAGGGAAAGATTTCTTCCCAATATGGTACAGGGAAGTTTACTAAGGGCTAGAACTGTATTTCCTCCCTTCCTGAGGTTGCTTGAGATGAGGATGCCTCTCAGGGGGAAAAAAAAAAGTGATCTGGGATGAGCTGTGCCAAGGTTTAGAGCTGGGAGGAGAGAGGAAAGATGAGTCTTGGTTCATCCCAGTGTTAAAGGACCTGACAACAAAGAATAGAAAATAATCTGTTCCTTTATGAGTGCCAGTTCCTAATTCCAAAAGTGAAGGTGAGGCTGCCTATAGGACTTGCATGTGCATAGGTTGGGAGACATTCTTGGAAGATTTTTCTTTCAGAAGCTTCTCTGCAAGCACATGCAGATAGTGATGGTTCTATCTTAGCTCCTGGAGGAAGACTGTGTGTACCTGCGTGGGAGTCAGGTCCTTTTTGGCAACTAGCGTTATGGACTTGGGAATAAACCAAGCAGGGTCTTGGATGAGGCTGCCTAGCTGCAGAATTCCAGTTTCCCTGGCAAGTCTAGAATATCTTGGCCTTTGCTGCTGAAAGTGTGCTGGTATTTATTTATAACTGTGCTTCACTCTGCATGCAGAGAGGTTGTCCTGGCTGGGTTGTAGGTGAGTACATGTGCAGAGGGTGGGGGGCATCCTTGTGAGTGCTGTGGTTCTTGTTCTGCAGGCAGGAATTTCACAGGAGCTAAGGAAAAGCAGATGTGTTTCCAGCATACCCTCTCTCACCTTGTGCAGCCCCCTGAAGAAGTTTTTGTGTATCCCTGCAGCATTGTGCCTTTAGTGGCATTCCAGGCTAAGGAGCCAGATGGTTGCTGGACAGGGATGCTCTCCTGGAGGGCTGAATGTGGCATTCAGGAAGCAGATGAGGGTGGGATGTGCAGGTCATGGAGTCCTTGGCTCCTGCCAGCTCAGATCCTGCTCTGCAGCAGCTGCTCCCATCAGGGACTGTCCCCCTTTGCTGCCAGGAGACTTGGGCACGAATCCCGAGGGCACGAGGGTAGGGAATGGGGGATGAGCTCCGGGTTCTTCAGCCCCAGGACCTCCTGATACCTAGCAAAGAAATCATCATTTCCCTGTTTTTCTTCCTATGAATGGGCATTTTAATTTAAGGTAAAGCTGAACTGCCTCTGATTGTCCTGGTGGTGATGTTAGGGCTGTCTCTATCCCAGGACAAGAGCTATCCCGTGCGATAACCCCAGGCTGACGTGCAGGTGCTGGCCTGAACCATGGAAATGGTTAAGGCAGAGTGATGGGCCCATGTGTGCAGAGAGCTGGGAAGTGAAGTGACAGATCCTACAATGAATTTGCACAATTCCATTTAAAACCAGACTGCTATTTAAAGGACTTGGTGAAGGATGGTGTGCCTGCGATCCGGAGTGGGAATGAAGTGATGATTCATTCTGGGATGCGCTGGGCTGTTTCAGAGCTGCTGGCTGGAGTTCACAAAGCTCCTGAGGCAAACTTAACTCCTTTTGCTTCTTTCATTTGTTGTTATTGTTCTCATACTGTAATAAATTGGAAACATGTTTGGTCCAAATGTGCAATTGTGGGTGCTTTTCCCTGCTATTCTGTGTGCGCAGATGTTATTCCATGTTATGCCATGTTATGCCATGTTATTCCATGTCATGCCATGTTATTCCATGTTATGCCATGTCATGCCATGTTATTCCATGTTATGCCATGTCATGCCATGCCTCAGCTGTGCCCCAGCATTGCTACCAAGGAGCAGTTTGCTGCACTTTGCAGATCCTGTGCCTTGTAATAATGTCTCTGAACGTACGGCTCCCTGAATCCTGTAGAAATTCATGAATTTCTTTTTTTAATGGGGTAAAGCTGGCAATTAAATTGAAATAAAATCTGTACTGAGAAAAGAGTGCTGCTGTTTTTCTTGTAGTTAACGTGATGTGCTTCCTTCCAGAGGGGCCCCTCGGTTGTTGCCCCTCCTGGGCTCTGCCCTCTCGTGGTTAAAATTTTTCTGGGTATTTGTGGCAAGGTTTTTAATGTTTTCATCAGCTTTCAAAATTCTTTGCAGTTTTTCTGCTTAACATGTTTAATGATCTGGAGTTAAACAGGACTCATCGATGCAAAGGCTGGGTGTCTTTGGGTTAAGCCTTGACTTGGTGTCATTTTGGGAGTCTCGTGAGTCACTACCCACAAAGACTTGTGTGGAGACCCTCCTGTGCTTGGTGCAAAGGGACTTTGACACGGGGTTGATTTCAAGGGCTCCTTTGACCACCCAAAAAGGGCCTTCAGGTAAGAAAAAGATGCAGACAGATTTGTTACTGGCCTGTTCTTTTGGATAAATTTTGAAGGGGGATCTGCTGGCCCAGGTGCCTCTATGGGCTGTCTTAAGGATCCCACCAAAGGAACTTGTTGCTGTAGTAGGAGAATCATAGGATCATGGAATTGTTAAGGTTGGAAAAGACATCTGAGATCATTAAGTTCAGCCATCAACCCAGCACCACCACCACGTTCACCGCTCAGGTGCCACATCCACACGTTCTGTGAACACTTCCAGGGATGGTGACTTCATGACTGGGCTTTCCAGGGCTGGACAACCATGAAGAAATCTTTCCTAATATCTAATCTAAACCTCCCCTGACAAACCCGAAGCCTCAGGGGGAGTCGCTGACCCACAGCCAGGATTGTATCCCCTGTTGCAACACTCTTTGAGGAGAAAGAGGAGCCCCAGAGCCTTGGCACTGGATGCTGTTTAACAGGCCCTGGGTGATGGTGGTGGTGGAGGAGGATCTCCAGCTAACTTGATCAGCAGGAGAGATCCTCATCATCCTGTGCCTTTCCTTGGACTCTCTCCCTGATGAGTGGGAACCAGAGCCTCTCCCCTCCTTTCCCACTGGTTTGTGGCCCTTTGGGAGGAGGAGCAGCTGAGGAGTCTGTGCCTGTGCCTGTACTGAGCAGTGTGCCTCGACCCTCTGCCACTGCAGGAGTGGCCTCGTGCCAGGTGCCAGAAGGGACCAGCGCAGAACTTCATGGGCACCTCCAGGGTTTGGATGTGATTGAAAAAACAGCTTGATGATGCTACAAAACTGTAGTAGGATTTGGGGCAGGGGTAATTTTGTTCATATCTTCAACTCAGCCACTTCATTGGGATGTTACTAATGCCAAATGCAAAGAGAGCAGAGGCAGGAGATGAGGCAGGCGTGCAGCAACACTGCTCTGGTTAATTTAGTGCCACTGCTTTGGCATAAAAGAGCATTTTGGGTGAATCCTGAGCTGCCCTTTCTATTTTGGAGCACAGGCCACTATACACTGTGGTCACAAGGAAAAGCTTTCTGCCGTGGTGCTGTTGATATATCTTTAATAACATTGTGTCTAGTAAAGCAAAACCCTTTCAGTCTCAGTCTGTGCTTCATGAACTGGTGACAGGGGAAGTCAGGTGCAGCAGCTGGAGTGTCATGGCTCCTGGAGCCTGAGTAAATCACTGGCAAGACACATCCTCACAGCACAATTTACATCAAATCCTCTCTTTACAGCAGCAAAATATTTCATCACACTTAGGTGGTTTGGTTTTTTCCTTCTAAGCCCTGGTTTTAGCTCTCCTGGGTGTCTCAGTGCCCTTCCCCTCAGTCCCTTTCCAGGGGATGCTCTGTGCCATCCAGCGGTGCCTCACAGCCGTGGCTCTGGCACTGGCCTGGAATGGCAGCACTGCTGGGGCTCTGTAGCTGCTCCTGCTGAACACTCTGCAGCAGCAGAAAGGGGGACATCTGAGGGCGTTTTTCCTCCGTGGGCTCTGAGCTAATTCATTTTAAAAGCTCCTAGCAGAGGTTGAAAAGAGGAAGCCTGTGCCCCTTAAATACTCCTAATCCGTAATGGTTGTGGACAGGTGGCTTTTGCTACTCATCTCCCTGTGGAGGAAAAATCCCACCCGCAGAGACTGAGATTTCCAAATCCCCGCAGGGCTGAGAAGCACACTGGAAATCTTTGGAAGAGGTGTGTTCCCTGCTCCCATGGCTGCCTTACTGAGCTCAGCTCTCTCTCCCTCTCCCACCCTTTCTGTGTCCTCGATGATCTTTCTACTTGCCTGGGTGTGTCACTTTTGAAGATTTCTTAAGAACATTCCCAAGTTTGAAGCAGATTCTGCGTATTTTCAGGGAGGGAGAAGAGGCAAAAAATCTGCCATCTCCATCCTACCAACTCTAGCTGGGGACTTATCCTTGCTTGGAAGGACAACATATCTTAAAACCTGGAGATGTCAAAACCAAAGGATTGCTACTGGTGTTTCCTGCCCCTTTCTCCATGAGCCAAACTGGCAGGAGGGCACAGATTCCTGGCCCCACTCCAAGGTGACCCACACGATGGCTGATGCTGGGGATGCTGGCACAGAGGAAACATGGGCTGGCACAAGGGAGACAGTGCCAAGCTACAATAGCCAGGAGTGAAGAGAGAGCACGTTTAGGTTGGATGTTGGGAAGAAATTCTTTACTCTAGGGGTGGTGAGGCCCCTATAGTGAGGCCCCCACAGGGTTGTGGACTACCCATCCCTGGAAGTGTCCAAGGCCAGGTTGGACGGGGCTTGGAGCAACCTGGGCTAGTGGAAGTTGTCCCTGCCCATGGCAGGGGGTTGGAATGAGATGAGGTTTAAGGTCCCTTCCCACCCCAACCATTCTGTGATTCTGTCATTCTGTGATAGCTCCAACTGCTGCGCTTTCCCCTGCACACCCAAGAGAGGGGAAATTCATCACTATTTTCAAATGCAAAATTGACCCCAT